TCCCTGCCCCATGCAACATAGGGGATGAATATATTAGATTATGGCTTCTTTGAAAGATCTGCAATTTAGGTAGGACAAAGTAAAACTGCTCACACACACACACACACACACACACCCCCTTTTGGTAACACTGCCGCCACCTCTTCTGCCATCTGATGCAAGAGATTAGTATAATCTTAACATTTATGAAAATATTTATAAAATATAGACAAGAATCCTTGCACCAAAATGTTAATTCTACTCATTCTAGAATAAGAAACAGAAACAACCTTTAAAAATAGAAGGTCGTTAAATAAATCATGGATTATCCATAAAATGAAATGCCAAGCAGGTATTAAAAATGATTACAATGAAATTTTAATGAAATGGGAAACCCTAAATATGAAATATTAGGTAAAAAGTCTTAAGCCAAAAACTATAAATACAACATTATTAACAACAGGCTATGCCTGTGCTTGTCTCACTGTGTTCACTGCCACAGCCTCAACCAGCAGCGAGCCCCTTCCATCCGTCCCCCCTTCGATCCGTCCCCCCTTTGATCTGTCCCCACTTCCATCCGTCCCCGCTTCGATCCATCCCCACTTCGATCCGTCCTCCACATTGAAGCCAGAGAGGTCTTTCCAAATCGAGTCTAATCTTGTCCACTCTACACTCAGGCTCTCCAGTGACTCTCCTACTGATGTTCAGACTCATTGACATGGGTTGCAGGGTAGCAGAGGGCTCTGGAACCCATGTCAAGGAGCCTACGCTCAGGAAGATGTTCAGGCTCACTGACATGGGTTCCAGAACCCTCTGCTACCCGGTCCTGGAGCCACCTCAGCATATGTGTATGTCCTATTCCCCCATCTTAAGCAGCATGCTTTATATTGCCTAGACTATTGCACATGTTCCGAACAGAAAGTCCGTGCCTTCTTTTTGTCTTGATATCTTCTTCTCAGCTGGTCCGAGTGCAGTCACAACCAGTTACAGATTTCTTTGTTCCTTCTCCACTCCCACGGCTTCACTTGACTAGCCTTAAAAAAGACATTTTCTCATCCTTCAAATCTCAGATTTCCCCTCATTTCCTCAGGAAAGCTTTCCCTCATCTCCACCAGGATCTCCTCGCCCCTTCTCCATGCTTTTATTCCTCTCTGTGTGTCCCCTTACGGTAGAACCTATTGTCTACTTGTTTTTTCTTTTCTTTTCTTTTCTTTTTTTTTTTGGAGACGGAGTCTCGCTCTGTCACCCAGGCTGGAGTGCAGTGGCGCCATCTTGGCTCACTGCAACCTCCGACTCCCAGATTCAAGCTATTCTCCTGCCTCAGCCTCCCGAGTAGCTGGGATTACAGGCACCGCCACCACCATGCCTGACTAATTTTTGTATTTTTAGTAGAAACGGGGTTTCACCATGTTGGTCAGGGTGGTCTCGAACTCCGGACCTCGTGATCCACTTGCCTTGGCCTCCCAAAGTGCTGGGATTACAGGCGTGAGACACTGCGCCCAGCCGAACCTATTGCCTTTTAAAGTAGCCGCTGATTCCCTTACGAATGAAAGCCTGTCGTGTTCATTGTTCGCTGCCAGGGAACAGTACCACAGGGTAGGCACTCATTAACTGTTGAAAAATCAATAGTGATAAGCTCCCATTGGTTAATAGAAATTTTCTCTCTGAGGTATTCAATTTTGAGTGGTTTAAAATTTTTTTTTACTCTCATACTGTTTTTTGTTTTTTTTTTTAAATTGTGGTTTAAAAAAAAAAAGCTGACATTAAATTTTACCACCTCCCTGTGCACGGTGACTCACGCCTATAATCCTAGCACTTTGGGAGGCCGAGGTGGGCGGATTGCCTGAACTCAGGAGTTCAAGACCATCCTGGCAACATGGCAGAACCCTGTCTCTACTAAAAACACAAAAAATTAGCATGGTGGTGTGTGCCTGTAATCCCAGCTACTCGGGAGGAGTACGTGTGTCTCGTGTGTCGGGAGACACACGAGAATTGCTTGAACCTGGGAAGCGGAGGTTGCAGCAAGCCGAGATTGTGCCACTGCACTCCAGCCTGAGACTCCATCTAAAAAAAAGTAAAAGAATAAATAAATGTTACCACCTTAACCATTTTTTAAGTGTACAGATTAGTAGTGTTAGGTGTATTCACATTGTTATGCAACAGATCTGCAGAACTTTTTCATCTGGAAAAACTGAAACTTTTGTAAACCAAAAATAAAATTCTAAGTTTCCCCAAGTGACTGAATGGACCCTTTCTGAGCCAATGGGGCTCCAGAAAAACCTGAAAAACTGAATTCCCGGCCATCATGGGAAGGGAGATGGGACACACCTACCCCTTCCTGTTGGAGTTTTGGTACAACTGACCAGCATTAACATTAAAATAGACATGTTAAGCCTGACAAAACAGACTTTTTGTGGCAATAAGATAACAAAATTCCAACCTGAGTCTGGTATAGCATCATATGACAGACAGCAGACCTTGAGGAAAATAAAATTATTTTACCCCAAAATATATTTCTTTGACATATTTTGAAATGGTCCTGCAAACTCTTCTGTGGGGGAAATTTGCATCTGTAGAGAATTTCCGTCAATGCAGCCAGGCCTTTCCTGGATCTAGGAGAGGTTAACTAGGAGTCTGACACCTATTTTCTTTTCTTTTCTTTTTTTTTTTTTTTTTTTGGAGACAAACTCTTGCCCTGTCACCCAGGCTGGAGTGTATCGGCATGATCTTGGCTCACTGCAACCTCCACCTCCTGAGTTCAAGCAATTCTCCTGCCTCAGCCTCCCAAGTAGCTGGCACTACAGGCAGGTGCCACCATGTCCAGCTAATTTTTGCATTTTTAGTAGGGATGGGGTTTCACCATGTTGGCCAGGCTGGTCTCGAACTCCTGACCTCAGGTGATCTGCCTGCCTCAGCCTCACAAAGTGCTAGGATTACAGGTGTGAGTCACTGCACCTGGCCTTGACACCTTTTAAGGTCTGAAAAGAGACATTTGCCACCTATTCTCTCTGAAGGCTGCTACCTGGAGGCTTCATCTACATAATAAGAACCTTGGCTTCTACAATCCCCCTTATCTTAACTCAAGCATTTCTTTCTACTGACTTCAAGTCTTTACACAAAGCTTAATTCTCTCAATGAATTCCCAATCAGAAAATCTTTGAATCTGCCTATGACCTGTAAGCACCCCCACCCATTCCACCTCCCACTGTGAGATGTCCTGACTTTCCAGGCTGAACTAATGTACACCTTACATGCATTGATTTGTAGTTTTGCCTGTAACTTCCGTCACCCTAAAATGTATAAAACCAAGCTATAACCTGACCATCTTGGGCATGCCTTCTCAGAACCTCTTGAGACTGTTCCCTGGGCCATGGCCACTCATGCTGGCTCAGAATTAACCTCTGTAAATGTTTTACAGAGTTTGGTATTTTGTCAACACTCTCCATCCACTAAACACTAATTCCTCCCACCTCTTCCTGGTAACTACTTTCTGTTTCTTTAATTTTGACTACTTTAGATACTTCAGAGGAAAGGAATCTTGCAGTATTTATGACTGGCTTATTTCTCTTAGCATAATGTCTTTGAGAGTCATCTATCTTAAAATTTTTTTTTTTTTTGATATGAACTCTCTTACCTCTATAACTAGAAAAGAAGTTTTAATAGAATCGTAGGAGCTAAAAGTGACTCTAGAACTTATTTTGACCTATTTCCCCCACTTCATACTTTACTTTTTCTAGATGATGTAAACAAAAAATAAAATTCTAAGCTCCCCAACTGACTAAATGGGTCCCCTTCTCAGCCAAGGGCATTCCAAAGTCAACCCGAAAAACTAGTTCCAATCATGATGGGAAGGGGGGTTAGATAGGCTCGCCTTATTACACCCTCCTCCCTTTGGAATCTGGGCACAACTGACCAGCATTAACATTGAAACAGAGATCTCAAGACTGACAAAATACTCTTTGTAGCAATAAGATATCGAATTCCAACCTGACTCTAGTGTAGCATCACAGAAGAGATAGCAGGCTCCAAAGACATCGAAGTAATTAACTCTGAAATGTATTTCATTGACGTATTTTTAAGTGGCTCTGCAAAGCTGTGTCTTACAGGGAAAATCTGCATTCTGTAGAGAATCTCCTTTCCTTTTCAGGTCTTTTCCTGATCCAGGAGAGATTAACTGAGTCTGGCACCTTTTTAAGTCTGATGAGAAACATTTACCATCTATTCTCTCAGAAGTCGGCCACCTGGAAGCTTCATCTGCATAAGAACTTTTGTCTCCACAACACCTTATCTTAACCCAGACATTCCTTTCTATTGATTCCAGGTCTTCAGATAATAATTTAACTTTTTTTAACCAATTGCCAATCAAAAAATCTTTGGATCCACCTATGACCTGGAAGCTCCTGCTTTGATCTGTCCAGTCTATTTGGACTGAACCAATGTACATCTTACATGTATTGATTGATGTCTGCCTATAATTTCTGTCCTGCTAACATGTATAAAATCCAGCTGTCAATCAACCACCTTGGGCACATGTTCTCAGGACCTCTGGGGCTGTGTCACAGGCCTTGGCCACTCATATTTGGCTCAGAATAAACCTCTTTAAGTTTTACAGAGTGACTTTTTTTTTTTTGAGACGAAGTCTCGCTCATGTTCCCCAGGCTGGGTGCAGTGATGCGATCTCAGCTTACTGCAACCTCTGCCTCCCAGGTCCAAGCGATTCTCCTGCCTCATCCTCCCGAGTAGCTGGGATTACAGGCACCTGTCACCACGCCCGGCTAAATTTTATATCTTTAGTAGAGACGGGGGTTTCACCATGTTGGCCAGGCTGGTCTTGAACTCCTGACCTCAGGTGATCCGCCCACCTCAGCCTCTCAAAGTGCTGGGATTACAGGCGTGAGCCACCGCGCCCGGCCCAGAGCGACTCTTTTCATCGACACTAGATGAGAAATCCAGAGACAGAAAAGAAACTTGCCGAAGGATAAAGATTAAATAATAGTAAAATTGAACCCAACTCATATATAAATAAGTAATGAAAGTAAATTTTAATCCTTTTACACATTATAGCACTTTTCAGCCTTTTATTTTCTACTCAGTATTAGCTGTTTAAAAATAATTTTGTTCTCCAATATTTCATTTTGTATTTGAAGCAAAATTAATCTGCCTAGAGAACAACAATTCTGTTAAAGATTGTGCTTTTTCAATTGTGTTTATAAAATGCATTCCATTGGTGTTCAGATTTGACATTCTGGACATGGGGCATCCTGTTGCATTAAGAATAAAAGGCTTCCTCAGGTTTGTGGGAGAATTTGATTCTTGAGCCACCCAGATCTCACAGGGCTGGAGTCACCAGCAAAATGTTACAGAGATATTGTAGTTCAGCTGCTTACAATTACACAGCATTATCTCCTCCTGAAAGAGAAAGATCCGGTGAGTGACAGATTGTCAAATACCTACCAAAGAAGACCCTCTTGTTTTCAGGGACCAAACTAATTAACTCAACAAACAGGGATTATGAGTCCACCATGGGCCCTGTTGTCATTTAGAGACAAATTTAAGACACGTATTTCTTGAGTTGGTGAAAAAGAAAATGAAATAATCATGCCATTGAGAGCTAAAGGGTCATAGCAGTTATGCAGTAAAACCCCTTCATTTTATTGCATATGAGAAACGGAAGTCCAGAGAGGGACCCAGGGCAAACGGCTAGTCAGTTATGCGCTGGACCTTGAGATTCCTGCTTCTGACTCCCAGGCCAGGGCTCCACGCAGTGCCCTAAGGGGTCAAGGAGGATGTGACAGCCCCCAGATTGTATGCAGGCTCGGTGTGAAAAGGGAGACAAAGACTCTCACTCAGCCTGCTTTTCTTAGAATTTTATTCTGCTTTTCTAATTTACTTGTCAGCGTGATTTTCAGTCTTGTCTTAGTATCTGTACTGGTTTTGAATAATGAGGAGAAAACTCTGGAGATTTCCAGCCCGCAGTGATTTAGGTTAGCTTGACAGGGTAGTCCAACATGGATGGATTATCTTTCTTTCTTCCAATAGACAGAACGAGGAAAGGAAATTGCAAGCCTCAGCTGAGACTGGGCACATGATATATAGTGTATTGACCTTGGTTTATGTGAAATAATGACTAAAACCTGCTTGGGGAGGATCTTTTGCTTGATGTTTTTGGTTTTGTTTATGACTGGAAGATAGGAATCCTTTCCTATCTAAATGTGAGGTTGCGGCGCATTTTGGCAATTTTTCTAACATATACACATTTTGTATGTTAAGATTTGAAGGAGAATAGACTCCCAAACGTTTTATTGTGCATTGCCCTTAGAATATTCTAAAATGCAGTGAAAATAATTTTAGAAATTTTGATTAAATGATAGATTGCTTAACATTTTATATTACTGTATGACTTTATAAGCTTATGTTACTGATATGAAACTTAGTGAATATATGTACAAATAAATAATTGTAATTCTTTGAAAGGTAGGCAAAAATTATCACATCATTATGATACTTTGTTCTGTAGGGTTGCAAGAAAAGAAATAATATCCTTTGGACAAAAAAGTACCCCAAGCCAGGTGTGGTGGGGTGTGCCTGTAGTCCAAGCTACTCGGGAGGCTGAGACGGGAAGATCACTTGAAGTCAGGTGTTCAAAGCTGCAGTAAGCCATGATCACACCACTGGACTCCAGCCTGGGCAACAGAGTGAGACCTCATTTCAAAAACAAACAAAAAGTATCTCAATTTATAAAAGCCTCTCAATTTATTACAGAATATCCACACAAATGAGGAATATGTTTAAATTTATGTAAATTAATTTAAGGGAATGCACACTGTAACATTTGCTAAATACTGTCCTGTAACTGTTGCTGTTGATTGGATACTCAGCAAAGTGATACTGTTAGACAGGACTAGTGCTTTCCACAGTCCCTCAACAGAGGCTGTAGGTTCAGAATTACCCAAATGTTCTTCTCCATTGGGCAGAAATGATTTTCTGTGTGTAACTTTTGGTAACGGAGATGGTCAGAGGTTCCATGTTCCTCAGTGTGGTGGTCACCAGGTGGATTTCATACTACACCAGGTCCCTGTTTTCTAAACTCTCTTTCCAGAGCTAAAAGCTGACGTGGATCTTGCTGACAACACGTAGAGTGGGAACCCACTCAAGCCCACTCAGTGAAAAGTCAACCAGTCAAGTGAAAGTGGATGAGCAAGAGGGCAGAGGTGAATGACTGAGAGGTTACTAATAAGGGTTACAAATGGTAAGAGTCTAAGAGACAAATTAACTATCAAATATTTCTGATGGATTCCCCCAAAGGAGTGAGGAACCTTTGCCAGTATTTACTTTCAATCTGTCAATTTTAGACTATAAGTTAATTAATTTCAACACAGTTTACTTTGGCAATTATACCTTGGTGTGTTTACTTATGTGCCAGAGTTCTGCAGGCAAAAGAATGGTCCAATTCAAGGGACAGCTTTTTAGCTTTAAGATGTTTTAAACAAAATGCTAATACTTTTACCTCAGAATAAATAACTCAGTTCCCTTCTTTTGAGTAGACTCAGAATTAGAAAACATTCTGGCTAAATAAAATTGGATCTAGGTCAGCTCTCTCACTTGACAGAGGAGGAAACTGAGGCAGAGAAAGGCGAAGTGACTTTTTCCTAAATCTCATGGTTGGTTATGGGCAGAACCTGGACCAGAACTCAAGTTTCTTGATTCTCAGTTCGTTGCTTTTCTCCTCTCAAAGTCTGTTTTCCTCAAACATGGCTTTTTACTTCATCATATTTTCATTTTCTCAGTCCTACATCTCAGCTCATCCTCACGGGTCCGTCCTTTTCTGGTTCCTTTCTACAGGCTACCTTTCTGGCAAGCTCTTTCTGGAGTACAGTGGCATGATCTCAGCTCACTGAGACCTCTATCTCCTGGGTTCAAATGACTCCTGCCTCAGCCTCCTTAGTAGCTGATATTACAAGAGTGCACCACCACGCCCAGCTAATTTTTGTATTTTTAGTAGAGACGGGGTTTCAACCATGTTGGCCAGGCTGGTCTCGAACTCCTGACCTCAAGTGATCCACCCATCTCTGCCTTCCAAAGTGCTGGGGTTACAGGCGTGAACCACCGCGCCCGGCCCTGGTAAGCTCTTTCTGAAGAGTAGGCTGCTCTTCCCACCCTCTCACTCGCTGTTCAGTCCACTGGCTTGGGCTTCTTCGCCTTGAACTTGCTCTCTCCAAGGTGTCCAGTGACTCTGCATTGCCAGTGAAAATGTCCACCCTCATCCTTAGTTTATCTGACTTCTCTGCAACATTAAACTCTACTGTTCACTCACTCCTTCCTAAAACCACGCATTTTTTTTCTTCTTGGCTTCTAGGATACAATCTCCTGGTTTTCTTCTCTCTCTGGCTTCTCCTTCATGGATTCCTTGGTGGGGTCTGGGTTCCCAATTCTTAAATGCTCGTATGGCCCAGTTACTCTTTTCATGTATATGTTTTTAGATGTGCTCTCGGGCACATCGTTCCTCCTCCATTACCTCTGTGAGGATGACTCTTATGCCCACATATCTGGCTCAGACCTCTCTCGCTCTCTCTCACCGCCCCCACCTTTTTTTTTTTTTTTTTTTTGAGACAGGGTCTCACTGTTACCCAGGCTGCAGTGCAGTGGCACAATCAATCGCACAACTCACTGCAGTCTCTCAAACTCCTGCGATCATGCAATCCTCCCACCTCAGCCTCCCAAATAGCTGGAACTACAGGTGCACACACCAGGCCTGGTTAATTTTTTATGTTTGTATTTTTTGCAGAGTTGAGATCTCCCTATGTTTCCCAGGCTGGTCTCCAACTCCTGGCCTCCAGCAATTCTCCCACCTGGGCCTCCCAAAGCACTAGGATTACAGATGTGAGCCACCATGCCCAGCCTCAGACATCTCTTTTCAGTTTCAGCCACATATATCTGCCATGAACGTCACCTCAAATTCACCACATTCAAAACCTGTGCCACTTCCTCTGTCTTCTGTATCTTGGTGTCTGTACAAATCAGAAAACAAAGTAACTTAGACTCCCCATTCTCCCTCAATTCACACTTAACAAGCTACCAAGTAGTATAGAAACTATTGCTTTATCATCTCTCTTGTCTTCCTTCATCATCTCCCTCATCTCTACCTTTGATCAAACACTGTTTTGTCTTGTCTGGACTGTAACAGTAGCGTCTTAGCTGCCCTTTCGGCCTCTAGTCTGCCCACGCCTACATATTGCTGGACCCCCAAATACTGCTGGAAGTATGACCCTTCTATTTATTTATTTTTTTTGAGACAAAGTCATACTCTGTCACCCAGGCTGGAGTGCAGTGGCGTGATCTCGGCTCACTGCATCCTCTGTCTCCTGGCTTCAAGCAATTCTCCTGTCTCAGCCTCCCAAGTAGCTGGGATTACAGGCGTGCGCCACCAGGTCCAGCTAATTGTTTTTGTATTTTTTGTTTGTTTGTTTTGAGACAGAGTCTCGCTTGTCACCCACGCTGGAGTGCAGTGGTGCGATCTCGGCTTACTGTAAGCTCTGCCTCCTGGGTTCACGCCATTCTCCTGCCTCAGCTTCCCAAGTAGCTGGGAGTACAGGTGCCCGCCACCACGCCCAGCTAATTTTTTTTTCTATTTTTAGTAGAGACGGGGTTTCACCATGTTAGCCAGGCTGGTCTCGAACTCCTGACCTCAGGTGATCCACGTGCCTCAGCCTCCCAAAGTGCTGGGATTACAGGCGTGAGCCACCGCGCCCAGCCTGTTTTTGTATTTTTAGTAGAGACAGGGTTTCACCATGTTGGCCAGGTTGGTCTCGAACTCCTGACCTCAAGTGATCCACGTGCCTTGGCCTCCCAAAGTGCTGGGATTACAGGCATGAGCCACCATGCCCAGCCTGTATGACCCTTCGAAACTGCAAATATGATTAGAACCCTTTGGCGTGCATGCCAGATCTTGCATTCGCTGGGTATGGCATTCCTCTCCAGCCTCACCTCCCTTCACCCCCGCACATCCAGCCTCCATCTCAGCCTCTCCAAAACACGTGAAAGCTCTACGATGCACTGCGCCGTTTCTTACCTCCAGTTCTCTTCACGTGCTGTTCTTGAAATGCTCCTCCCTTTTTTCTCATTCGCTCACGCTCGTCCTTTAAGTGCAGTTTAAGTGCCACCTCCTCAGAGGGCCTGCTTGCATTCTTCCATCTGACTTAGATGCCTCCTCTCCTCCCTGACTCTCTCTCAGCACCCATTCCATACCCTATTATAATTGTTTCTAAACTGTAAACTCCTCAGAGACCGAGTGCACTTTTAGCCTGGTGTATTAATAGCGCATTTACAGATTTCACTTGAGTTTTTCCAGTAATGTAGCATATGCATTACAGCACAAGGAGATTATGCCTCCCCAACTTTCTCTGCTTTCC